CAACCACCACTACTACCACAACACTCGATACAACCACAATTACTACCACAATACTCGATACAACCACCCCACTACTACTACCACAACACTCGATACAACCACCACTAACTACCACAACACTCGATACAACCACCACTACTACCACAACACTCGATACAACCACCACTGCTACCACAACACTCGATACAACCACCATTACTACCACAACACTCGCTACAACCACCACAACTACCACAACACTCGCTACAACCATCACAACTACCACAACACTCGATACAACCACCACCACTACCACAAACACTCGATACAACCACCACTACTACCACAACACTCGATACAACCACCACTACTACCACAACACTCGATAACAAACCACCACTACTACCACAACACTCCTTACAACTACCACCACTACTACCACAACACTCGATACAACCACCACTACTACCACAACACTCGATACAACCAAAATTACTACCACAATACTCGATACAAACCACCCCACTACTACTACCACAACACTCGATACAACCACCACTACTACCACAACACTCGATACAACCACCACTACTACCACAACACTCGAAACAACCACCACGCTACCACAACACTCGATACAACCACCATTACTACCACAACACTCGCTACAAACCACCACAAACTACCACAACAACTCGCTACAACCATCACAACTACCACAACACTCGATACAACCACCACCACTACCACAACACTCGATACAACCACCACTACTACCACAACACTCGATACAACCACCACTACTACCACAACACTCGATACAACCACCACTACTACCACAACACTCGCTACAACCACCACAACTACTACAACACTCGCTAAACCATCACAACTACCACAACACTCGATACAACCACCACTACTACCACAACACTCGATACAACCACCACACTACCACAACACTCGCTACAAACCACCACAACTACCACAGCACTCGATACAACCACCTCTACTACAACAACACTCGATACAACCACCACTACTACCACAACATTCGCTACAACCACCACAACTACCACAACACTCGATACAACCACCACTACTACCACAACACTCGATACAACCACCACAACTACCACAACACTTGCTACAACCACCACTACTACCACAACACTCGCCACAACCACCACTACTACCACAACACTCTACAACCACCACTACTACCACAACACTCGCTACAACCACCACTACTACCACAACACTCGCTACAACCACCACCACTACTACCACAACACGATATACAACCACCACTACTACCACAACACTCGATACAACCACCACTACTACCACAACACTCCTTACAACTACCACCACTACTACCACAACACTCGATACAACCACCACTACTACCACAACACTCGATACAACCACAATTACTACCACAATACTCGATACAACCACCCCACTACTACTACCACAACACTCGATACAACCACCACTACTACCACAACACTCGATACAACCACCACTACTACCACAACACTCGATACAACCACCACTGCTACCACAACACTCGATACAACCACCATTACTACCACAACACTCGCTACAACCACCACAACTACCACAACACTCGCTACAACCATCACAACTACCACAACACTCGATACAACCACCACCACTACCACAACACTCGATACAACCACCACTACTACCACAACACTCGATACAACCACCACTACTACCACAACACTCGATACAACCACCACTACTACCACAACACTCGCTACAACCACCACAACTACTACAACACTCGCTACAACCATCACAACTACCACAACACTCGATACAACCACCACCACTACCACAACACTCGATACAACCACCACTACTACCACAACACTCGATACAACCACCACTACTACCACAACACTCGTTACAACCACCACAACTCCACAGCACTCGATACAACCACCTCTACTACAACAACACTCGATACAACCACCACTACTACCACAACATTCGCTACAACCACCACAACTACCACAACACTCGATACAACCACCACTACTACAACACTCGATACAACCACCACAACTACCACAACACTTGCTACAACCACCACTACTACCACAACACTCGCCACAACCACCACTACTACCACAACACTACAACCACCACTACTACCACAACACTCGCTACAACCACCACTACTACCACAACACTCGCTACAACCACCACTACTACCACAACACTCTACAACCACCTCTACAACCTGTAACTGCCCCTCACCATCACCCCAAATGCACTATATATATATATATATATATATATATATATATATATATATATATATAATATATATATATATATATATATATATAATATACATTTTTTTTATTATTATCACACTGGCCGATTCCCACCAAGGCAGGGTGGCCCGAAAAAGAAAAACTTTCACCATCATTCACTCCATCACTGTCTTGCCAGAAGGGTGCTTTACACTACAGTTTTTAAACTGCAACATTAACACCCCTCCTCAGAGTGCAGGCACTGTACTTCTCATCTCCAGACTCAAGTCCGGCCTGCCGGTTTCCCTGAACCCCTTCATAAATGTTACTTTGCTCACACTCCAACAGCACGTCAAGTATTAAAAACCATTTGTCTCCATTCACTCCTATCAAACACGCTCACGTATGCCCTCTGGAAGTCCAAGCCCCTCGCACACAAAACCTTTACCCCCTCCCTCCTACCTTTCCTAGGCCGACCCCTACCCCGCCTTCCTTCCACTACAGACTGATACAATCTTGAAGTCACTCTGTTTCGCTCCATTCTCTCTACATGTCCGAACCACCTCAACAACCCTTCCTCAGCCCTCTGGACAACAGTTTTGGTAATCCCGCACCTCCTCCTAACTTCCAAACTACGAATTCTCTGCATTATATTCACACCACACATTGCCCTCAGACATGACATCTCCACTGCCTCCAGCCTTCTCCTCGCTGCAACATTCATACAACCACCATAATATATATATATATATATATATATATATTATATATATATATATATATATATATATATATATATATATATATATATATATGCAGGCGTGCATGAGCGTGTTCGAGAGGAGTGAATGGAGACGAATGGTATTTGGGACCTGACGATCTGTTGGAGTGTGAGCAGGGTAATATTTAGTGAAGGGATTCAGGGAAACCGGTTATGTTTATATAGCCGGACTTGAGTCCTGTAAATGAGAAGTACAATGCCTGCACTCTAAATGGGGTTCAGGATATTGGCAGTTTGGAGGGATATGTTGTGTATCTTTATACGTATATGCTTCTAAACTGTTGTGTTCTGAGCACCTCTGCAAAAACAGTGATTATGTGTGAGTGAGGTGAAAGTGTTGAATGATGATGAAAGTATTTTCTTTTTGGGGATTTTCTCTCTTATTTGGGTCACCCTGCCCCGGTGGGAGATGGCCGACTTGTTTATATATATATATATATATATATATATATATATATATATATATATATATATATATATATATATATATATATATATATATATATATATATATATATATATATATATTTTTTTTTTTTTTTTTTTTTTTCAACAAGTCGGCCGTCTCCCACCGAGGCAGGGTGACCCAAAAAAGAAAGAAAATCCCCAAACGAAAATACTTTCATCATCATTCAACACTTTCACCACACTCGCACATTATCACTGTTTTTGCAGAGGTGCTCAGAATACAACAGTCTAGAAGCATAAACATATAAAGATACACAACATATCCCTCCAAACTGCCAATATCCCAAACCCCTCCTTTAAAGTGCAGGCATTGTACTTCCCATTTCCAGGACTCAAGTCCGACTATATGAAAATAACCGGTTTCCCTGAATCCCTTCACTAAATATTACCCTGCTCACACTCCAACAGATCGTCAGGTCCCAAGTACCATTCGTCTCCATTCACTCCTATCTAACACGCTCACGCACGCTTGCTGGAAGTCCAAGCCCCTTACCCACAAAACCTCCTTTACCCCCTCTCTCCAACCCTTTCGAGGACGACCCCTACCCCGCCTTCCTTCCCCTATAGATTTATATGCTTTCCATGTCATTCTACTGTGATCCATTCTCTCTAAATGACCAAACCACCTCAACAACCCCTCTTCTGCCCTCTGACTAATACTTTTATTAACTCCACACCTTCTCCTAATTTCCACACTCCGAATTTTCTGCATAATATTTACACCACACATTGCCCTTAAACAGGACATCTCCGCTGCCTCCAACCGTCTCCTCGCTGCTGCATTTACCACCCAAGCTTCACACCCATATAAGAGTGTTGGTACTACTATACTTTCATACATTCCCTTCTTGCCTCCATAGATAACGTTTTTTTGACTCCACATATACCTCAACGCACCACTCACCTTTTTTCCCTCATCAATTCTATGATTAACCTCATCCTTCATAAATCCATCCGCCGACACGTCAACTCCCAAGTATCTGAAAACATTCACTTCTTCCATACTCCTCCTCCCCAATTTGATATCCAATTTTTCTTTATCTAAATCATTTGACACCCTCATCACCTTACTCTTTTCTATGTTCACTTTCAACTTTCTACCTTTACACACATTCCCAAAATCATCCACTAACCTTTGCAATTTTTCTTTAGAATCTCCCATAAGCACAGTATCATCAGCAAAAAGTAACTGTGTCAATTCCCATTTTGAATTTGATTCCCCATAATTTAATCCCACCCCTCTCCCAAACACCCTAGCATTTACTTCCTTTACAACCCCATCTATAAATATATTAAACAACCATGGTGACATTACACATCCCTGTCTAAGACCTACTTTTACCGGGAAGTAGTCTCCCTCTCTTCTACACACCCTAACCTGAGCCTCACTATCCTCATAAAAACTCTTTACAGCATTTAATAACTTACCACCTATTCCATATACTTGCAACATCTGCCACATTGCTCCTCTATCCACTCTATCATATGCCTTTTCTAAATCCATAAATGCAATAAAAACTTCCCTATCTTTATCTAAATACTGTTCACATATATGCTTCAATGTAAACACCTGATCTACACATCCCCTACCCACTCTAAAACCTCCTTGCTCATCCGCAATCCTACATTCTGTCTTACCTCTAATTCTTTCAATTATAACCCTACCGTACACTTTTCCTGGTATACTCAGTAAGCTTATTCCTCTATAATTTTTACAGTCTCTTTGTCCCTTTCCCTTTATATAAAGGGACTATACATGCTCTCTGCCAATCCCTAGGTACCTTCCCCTCTTTCATACATTTATTAAACAAAAGTACCAACCACTCCAACACTATATCCCCCCCTGCTTTTAACATTTCTGTCATGATCCCATCAGTTCCAGCTGCTTTAACCCCCTTTCATTTTACGTAATGCCTCACGTACCTCCCCCACACTTACATTCTGCTCTTCTTCACTCCTAAAAGATGGTATACCTCCCTGACCAGTGCATGAAATTACTGCCTCTGTTTCTTCCTTAACATTTAAAAGTTCCTCAAAATATTCTCGCCATCTACCCAATACCTCCATCTCCCCATCTACTAACTCCCCTACTCTGTTTTTAACTGACAAATCCATATTTTCCCTAGGCTTTCTTAACTTGTTTTAACTCACTCCAAAATTTTTTCTTATTTTCATTAAAATTTCTTGACAGTGCCTCTCCCACTCTATCATCTGCTCTCCTTTTGCACTCTCTCACCACTCTCTTTACCTTTCTTTTACTCTCCATATACTCTGCTCTTCTTATAACACTTCTGCTTTGTAAAAACCTCTCATAAGCTACCTTTTTCTCTTTTATCACACCCTTTACTTCATCATTCCACCAATCACTCCTCTTTCCTCCTGCCCCCACCCTCCTATAACCACAAACTTCTGCCCCACATTCTAATACTGCATTTTTAAAACTATTCCAACCCTCTTCAACCCCCCCACTACTCATCTTTGCACTAGCCCACCTTTCTGCCAATAGTCGCTTATATCTCACCCGAACTTCCTCCTCCCTTAGTTTATACACTTTCACTTCCCTCTTACTTGTTGTTGCCACCTTCCTCTTTTCCCATCTACCTCTTACTCTAACTGTAGCTACAACTAAATAATGATCCGATATATCAGTTGCCCCTCTATAAACATGTACATCCTGGAGCCTACCCATCAACCTTTTTATCCACCAATTTACATAATCTAATAAACTACTTTCATTACGTGCTACATCATACCTTGTATATTTATTTATCCTCTTTTCATAAAAATAGTATTACTATTACCAAATTTCTTTCTACACATAGCTCAATTAAAGGCTCCCCATTTACATTTACCCCTGGCACCCCAAATTTACCAAACTACTCCCTCCATAACATTTTTACCCACTTTAGCATTAAAATCCCCAACCACCTTACTCTCACACCTTGATTCAAAACTCCCCACGCATTCACTCAACATTTCCCAAAATCTCTCTCTCTCCTCTACACTTCTCTCTTCTCCAGGTGCATACAACGCTTATTATAACCACTTTTCACATCCAATCTTTATTTTACTCACATAATCCTTGAATTAATACATTTATAGTCCCTCTTTTCCTGCCATAGCTTATCCTTCAACATTATTGCTACTCCTTCTTTACTCTAACTCTATTTGAAACCCCTGACCTAATCCCATTTATTCCTCTCCACTGAAACTCTCCCACCCCCTTCAGCTTTGTTTCACTTAAAGCCAGGACATCCAGCTTCTTCTCATTCATAACATCCACAATCATCTCTTTCTTATCATCTGCACAAAAATCCACGCACATTCAGACTTCCCACTTTGACAATTTTCTTCTTCTTATTCTTTTTAGTAATCTTTACAGGAAAAGGGGTTACTAGCCCATTGTTCCCGCATTTTAGTTGACTTTTACAACACGCATGGCTTACGGAGGAAAGATTCTTATTCCACTTCCCCATGGATATAAAAGGAAAATTAATAAGACCAAGAACTATTAAGATAAAATCAAAGAAAACTCAGATGAGTGTGTATAAATAAATGTGTACATGTATGTGTAGTGTGACCTAAGTGTAAGTAGAAGTAGCAAGACATGCCTGTAATCTTGCATATTTATGAGACAGACAAAAGACATCAGCAATCCTACCATCATGTAAAACAATCACAGGCTTCGTTTTACATTCACTTGGCAGGACGGTAGTACCTCCCTGGGTGGTTGCTGTCTACCAACCTACTACCTACATTATATTATAATATATATATATATATATATATATATATATAATATATATATAATATATATATATAATATATATAGAATAGATATATATATATATATATATATATATATATATATATATATATATATATATATATATATATCCATACACTGTACATTTATTGTTGGGAAAAAAAACTCGGACTCATTGTTGGACCCAATATATAAGTACCTGTGTAATCTTTTGACTACCTTCAGCAGAATGGGTATGGACGGACAATATATATAACTATCTAAAACAAAAACATTCAGATTGAGATGCTAATACTTAAGCATGCATGTTTACATTAATTAACTTAGCTTGATTATTTTTTCACCCCCAGAGATACCAAAACTTGGAGTGACGTTTCCTTAGAGTTGCCTTACTCTGGATTTGGTATCATGTTCATGAACTCGCCTATATGTGGTGTAAGGAAACCACTCACCCGTCCATGAACTTGGCCAGGATCTGCGAGTCAGCCAGTGAAACGGTGCTGAGTGACCTGTGTTGCGGCAGGAGTCGTGGACTCCAGGTTCCTCCAGATGTAGACGACCCTGGCCGACGCTGTGACTGGGTCCTGCAAACACATCACATTTTACCTTTTTTCAAATGGGCTGGTAAACCTACTGTAGCATGCGTCATGTACGTTATAATTTATTCAGCGTTCACTACACGCCCATTAGCATACCCTCTAGACCAGCCAAACTGGCAGTCAGGCTGGGGAAGTTTATTTAGGGGCCCACTGCTCTGGTAGGCTGTTCAGTTCAGACACCAACCAAAATTTATTTTATTAATGTTAAGCGCTTAACCCATGTGGGTTATTCAGCGCAAGGCATGGTGGAGGCTTGATCCTCAGTCTCGCGAGAGCGAGACAAACGTGTTTCCTATTTGTACTCACCTAGATGTATACACCAACCAAAAGGGTGAGAGATATCCTCCAGTCGAGTTGAGATTATGCTTTCCCACCTGGCTGAGCGGCAGACACTAACACTGGTCGCATACACTCATACACACTGGTCTATCTTGGGACGCAAAACCAACTGTAATAAGTGGCTCTTTGCTTTCGCCCATTATTATTATTCTGATGATGATAACCACTTTGTACATATTGTGAATATCTTGATAAAGAAAATATATGAGTACTAAAAAACCACCCTGTTGTGGTTGTCTTTGTTCATTGTCTAGAGACTTAATTTACAGCCAGGTACAACAGACCTTTAATTGCGTACCTGTGATCGTAATACCTACTATCACATTTATTTTTTTACAATGTGGACTGGTAAGCCAGCACAAGGCCTCGGTCAAATGACCAAAAGTCCCACTGAGCTGATCATCATATGACAACAGAATTAAGGTAAATTTTTTTCTCATTTCTCCTGATAAATTATTACACCGAAGTTGAAAACCAGTACACTCTAGTAAACTAAATATACGAATAAAGAGCTAAGAGAGAAAAAAAAATGGCAGTAAATATGAGAGAATAGAAGCAAAACTAATGAAATAATACGTGAAGTGACGATAAGCGGGGAAATATAATTAGGAGTAAAAATCAGGAGATAATGAAACAGAAGACATAAATGGATAAAACGGAGAATTAATGCAAGAGTACGTAACCCGTTTTTTTTTTTTATTTATGTACGGCGACACAATTAATTTCAAGCGTATCACAACCTAATGGAAGAAAATGTTCTGAAGACACCTAAGTGACAATTTATAAAAATGGTACACGATAGAACTGCTACTCCATAACACTGAACCATCCCATATATCACCAACCATTATAAGAACATAAGACAGGAGAAGCATTCTAGGCAGATCCAATTCACAACTAACGACACCCCCTCATATACCAACCCAACCAGTATATACAGCTACCCAAAGTTCTCGTCAGTGACACTACCTGAGAGTTTGTTCCAGCCTTCTACAAATTTATTACTAAACTAGAACCTCCCTATATCTTTTCTAAACATAAGTACCACGGCACTTTCCTTGAAGCATCCTGTACCCGTAGGCTTGAAATCTGATACTGCGCAACATTATTCAATACCTACAATATGTTGAGAAAGTAGTGAGCACCTGCCGTGGCTCACCTTGCGAGCGCTGAAGAAGGCCTGGAGAGCCTGTAGGAGGGGCAGTAGACGGTAGCGCTGCTGGGCCGAGGTAGTTCCAGGCTGGTAGGGCCGGCATGAAGTCCCAGGCTCGAACCCCCATCACCACGCACCCCTGCTGCAAATATACCACACCTTGATAGTTATTAAGAGCGTTAGTTGTAGTAGCAGTATAAATTTTAATTTTGTAAATTTAGTAAAATTTTTATCGGACTGTTATTAATATGTTCAGGTCAAGTAAAGTATGTTATGGAAATACTTTAGAATAATTATATAGTATACTAAAAGAAAAAAGCGCTGGTTTTGCAACAGAGTTGAAGATGAGTGGAACAACTCCCAGGCAGCGTTAAGGAGGCAAGAACTTTGGGTAACTTTAAATATAGGTTAGACAGGTACATGAGTGGGTGTGAGTTGGTCGTGTCTAGCAAGGACCAGTACGCCTGCTGCAGTTCTTTTTTCTTATGCTCTTAAAAAACTATTTACGCCTTTCCTCCGCTCCCCGTCAGGGTCCCATGCCGGTGAAATGCTCCTCATCCAAGGAAAAAGTTACCCACCCATTCTCTTGATCAAACCTGATTCTATTTCCCATGAACTGTATGATCCTCGTGGTTTTAGCGCTTCCTTAAGAGTGTAGTAAGAACACTCACCGATTTCATCGAGGCTGCCAGTGTAGGTGAGTTTGACGACAGGCGAGGTGGAGGTGGCGGGCCTGGCGCTGGAAACTCTCCTGTGGGGGAATGGGCGGCGTCTCACAGGCGTCCTGGGTGCCGAGGTAGATGTATGTGCGGGTGTGGGTGTGCGGCGGCGCTGCAGGCGGGGCGTGGAGGCGGGCGTGAGGGTGGTGGTGTCGCTACGAGGTGTCCAGCTTCCTCCACTGCTGACCACACTCACTGACAGCCGCGAGGGCTCGATACGGCGTATGCTATCAGTGGCCCTATGAGCCACAAGAATACGATAACCACAATGGATCATTTAAAATGAAGCTAAACTCTTAGCCGCTGCTCCAACTTGTGACAAGGGATTTTCGTTATCATTATCTGATACACTGAATTAAGTGGATACCTTTCACCCAACATTTTAATACTGCTAGAATGTATGAAGTATCCTTAGTCATTTAAAAGAAATCTTCCAAAGAATTCCACCCAGGTGTCTGTCTCTAGTGCTAGGTGAGCAGGGGCAGCAGGTAGGCCAGGATACTGGGAAATTATGTTGTCATACGATATACTGTAGTAGTGTTGCTCATGAATGAGACTTGGTCACTCACAGCTCTAATAACAGTCAGGATTTACTGAAGTACATTCTCACAGATGGAAGTGTTGCTTTGTTGTGTGAGATGCTAGCCTTTCTCATGCATACATACATACATATTTGTATCATTATATCTAGTTCAAAAACTTTAGAACACTATTATTATTATGAATGTGGAGCTTCTAATCCAATGTGGATCATTCAGCGCAAAGAGTGGTGGAGTTTCGATCTCCCGTCCGGTATTCATGGTCCAGTCTATTCAGTAAGGCTGCTGGTAATTGGAGCGGATACAACATTTTAATAATGCAGGTGCGGCCTTACCTGTACGCCGAAGTTGGCCTCTTGCTTGGGCTCTCCCTCAGGAGGCCGCTGCTAGCTTCCTCCTCGTCATCGTCAGAGTCACCATCTTGTCGGTCACACTCCGCGGCAGAGTTGGCTGAGCGGACTCCGTCATCAGTGAGGTCGCTCAGGGAAGAGGCGAGGGAGGCTGTGGAATCTGAACTTCTCCTGCGATATCAAAACAAACGACGATTTCAGGGGTCCTGGGACGCTTTCACCCAGGAGGAGAGCGATATTTATTTTACTTATGTGATGTTCTTATGACGAAACATCAAGGTGTAGTGGATATTCATCACAGAACTGGAGAAAGTTACTTGTAGACAGAAACAAGAGTTTTAAAAAGGAGACTATTTCGATCTCTGTCTGCAATCTGCATCTCAAACGGAAATATATATACACAGTCTCTTTTGTACACTATTTCTGTCTATTATGTGAAGTTTCTCTTGAATTACATCTTTTTTCTTAAATTTTGTTTAATACCACTTAAGCACTTGCACTGAGCGTGAATCATGCCGCTACTGTATTTATTTCTTAACTACTAAAAAAAATCAACAAAAGCAAAATACAATATTCACAAAAAGTGAATTTGTATTGCAATAATCGCTAAACTCATGCAGATCATTCTAGTAAGGTGAGAAATTAATGTTAAGCTGCACTTAGTAGCAAGTCTATAAAATAGAGGAACATTAAGGCTGTCCTAAATAAAAGACAGAAATACAATATTTAATTCTAATACTGAAATAAAGACTCAGGGGATCACAAACATGCACTGGAACCTAAGGTAATTATAGTGCCGAGGGTACTGTCATTAGCAGGTGAGGGAGAGGCGGCAAGAGACTAACCTAGTCCCGTGGTAGCGAGGTGGCTGAGATGCCCAGGTGATCCTGGGTCGGTGGGCAGGTGGTGGGTGAGCAGCACCAGCGGCTTGTCGTCCAGTGCTGCCCCCGCCTGGCCACGTCCCACAGCTCTGTAATAATATAAACAAGCATACACACACACACACACACACACACACACACACACACACACACACACACACACACCACACACCACACACACCCCACACACACACACACACGCACGAAGTTTCAGAATTATCTACACGAGAAGTGTTAAAAGCAGAGTTCATACACACTTTCAACAGCAGGTAAGTTAAAATATTAGTTTAGAAAAAAAATGTTAAATTTAATGTGAAGAGAATATTGCACAACGGAGAGAGAGAGAGAGAGAGGGAGAGAGAGAGAGAGACATTGCTGGCGCTTTCGACCGGGTGTGGCACCAGGGCATCTTAGCAAAACTTCAAGCACTGGGAATTGCAGGCTCTACGCTATGTCTCCTCAGTGATTACCTTCATGGTAGATCTCTAAGTGTAGTTCTCAATGGAACGGAATCAGCAAGACATCCTATTGGGACAAGTGTTCCACAAGGAAGCGTGCTGGGTCCATTGTTATGGAATGTCTACTTCAACGACCTTCTTCATCTCATCCCAGAATCACATGCATATGCAGACGACTGTACACTGACATTCACTTATCCAAGAGAAGAAATGCCAGCTGCTCTAAGCTACATCAATCACCAGCTGAGAGCTATATCAGCTTGGGGAAATAGATGGCAAGTAACATTTGCACCTGAGAAAACGCAAATGATGATCGTCTCTAGGCACCATGATGGTAATGCTGGTGCAGTAGTAAGGATGAATGGGAGGATGTTGGCACCTGGAGAAGAAGTTGATATCCTGGGGTGAAATTTGACTCCAAACTAACCATGAAGAACCATGTTGTAAATCTTCCAAACAAGGCAGCCAGGAAGCTTACAGCACTTCGCCGTATCTCCCATCTGCTTGACAGTAGGGGTTGCAAGATCCTGTACGAGGCACAAGTACGCTCGCACCTTGAGTATGCTCCACTTTCTTGGTTTGCCTGCCCCCCCCCCCTCTCATCTGCGACTGCTTGACAGAGTAGAGAACAGAGCAAGACGTCTCATCTCTCGCCTGGACCCATCCTGGATAGATCTGTCATTTCAGCAGAGCCTTCAACATAGGAGGGATGTGGTGGCCTTACTGTTATGTACAAGGCCAATATTGTCAAAATACCACACTTGGATCCACTTCGAGGACAGCGTGAAACAAGCTTTTATGCCACAAGACGGGCAGAAAGCAGCAACTTCACTCATGGCTGTACCCTTCTCCAGAACATCACTCCATCTGAGATCATACATACCCAGGATGACTCGAGTATGGAACACATTCGTACAGGATAATGATGTCAACGAGATAAAGTCAGTTGATCAAATGAAAATGCTGGCCCACAGATGGCTCCAACTTCATCCTGTTTCCTACTTGTATGTCTCATAACAATAAAAATGCTTTCAAATGAGCTGATGTAGGTAACAGCTCTTAGCTTGCCATTAAAGTTAGGAGTCCTTAACCTATAAATAGCTGTCAATAAAGCTAGGGATCCTTAACCTTGTCAAACCCTGTGTAAAAAGAGAGAGAGAGAGAGAGAGAGAGAGAGAGAGAGAGAGAGAGAGAGAGAGAGAGAGAGAGAGAGAGAGAGAGAGAGAGAGAGAGAGAGAGAGAGAGAGAGAGAGAGAGAGAGAGAGAGTGAGAGAGAAAGAGAGAGAGAGAGAGTGAGTGAGAGAGAGGAGAGAGAGATCACGGATGGAGTGAGCCCGAGAGAGTGAGAGAGAAGTGAGAGAAGAGAGATAATGTCATTAGAGAGTTTAGAGAAGAGATAGCGAGAGAAGTAGATTGAGAGAAGCTGAGAGAGAGAGAGGAGAGTGAGAGAGAAAGAGAGAGAGAGAGAGTGAGAGAGAGGAGAGAGAGAGAGAGAGAGAGAGAGAGAGAGAGAGAGAGAGAGAGAGAGAGAGAGAGTACCGCAGGATGGAGGCGCGAGGTGGTGTGTGGACGGTGGGTGTCCGCTGCTGCTGTTGGCCTCTGTGTCGTGCCTGCATCAGAAATCTGTGGTAATTACAGTTACGCAGCTCATTATTGTTCATTTATCAACTTTAAATAAATATGCAACATGTTACATTTGTTAAGCACTTCACTTGCCATCCCAAGAATTAACTTTATAAAAAAAATCAGTATTGTTAGATGCTCTATGCCAGGGTCTAAATATAACATTCGCTAAATAGTCATCATTATAGAATTAATTACAAGAGAGTGAATTACGAAGTATGATCATTATTTGCAAAAAGATCACTTAATCGCTCGTAAAACTGATCTCACTGACCTTCGAACTGCAGGAGTGATGTATTTGTGTGTTGCAGCTGGTGTTGCTTGTGTTGTGTGGATAGTCTAGTCTTCTCACTGGCTGAGTACGGTCTTGTCAGCTTGCCATGGGTGAACTTGCTGCTACCAGGCTTGCTGTTACCCACGGAAGCCCGATACGGTTCTCCAGGGATGCGTGTAAACGTAGGTATGGTGTGTGTATCAGCGCGTTTTGATGCAGCATTGAATACGGGTTTAAAGGCTGCTTGTTTCACGCGTTGGGCGCTGGAGGGTCTAGGGGCTCCCGTCCTGGGCTTTCTTATGACGCTGAGAGCAGAGGCCTGCTGATTCTTGGTGCTAGGAGCAGAGGCCTGTTTATCCCTGATGCTGGGAGCATAGGCGTCGCGACTGCTGTTTACGATTGTGTAAGTTCGGATGGCAGTGTCAGTTGCTGTTACTACCTCTATCGCTGTTACTGTTGCCACATTAGTACTAACATCCATCTCAGCCTCTTCTTCATGAGTTATCACTTCACGTTTCTCTTCTCCCAAGCGTTCATCATCATCCTTCTCTGTTTCTTCTTCTTCATCTTCCATTCCATGTTCTCCACTACCACGTCTGTTCCCAAGTTCCTCCACACCGTCTTCCCATGAACCCTGGCAGCCTGTGCTCGAGGCTGGGAAATGGGGAAAACATACATCTACGATATTCGCTCTCTGCCCCCCCCCCCATCCTCCTGGCTGGTTGGTTAATGGGGTTTAAAGCCTATCAACTACACTAGGGTTATTAAGGCTGCAAGTAATCTTTTCACCACCAGACAAGAATATCTTAATGCCTAAAATAAGGATGAAAGTAAACTCTCAGCATATATACGCTGAAATACACCTCTCAGTGCATATAACCTGTTCACCTCTGTCACAGTTCTCTCAATGGCAGCATCTATAAAATTCAACCAGCAAGAAAAATAGAAGAAACATTATAAAAACGGAAGATTAATTTATAAGTATATATTAATATAATAATAATATATTGGAATTCAACAGTAATAAACAAGAATATTAATAATAATGGCTATGACAAACATCGATCGAAACTTAATTTGTTGACAGACATAATTTTTTATTATTTAATTTACTGAGCACGTAGAACACACAAATCTTGAATAAAAACTCTTCGTATTACCTATAATCTTTAAAAAGATCTATAAACCCACAGGTAAACTTCTGCTATTAAGCAGCCATATAAATGCATCACATAAGGAGCCTACACACAGAAGTGAGACGGAGAAAGATGTTAGGAAACACATGATAGTACGAGAGGAAAAGTACTGGAATAAACCAGACGACCGGGACCCTTAACCTGGAGAACAAGTATGGTGGTACAGACATAATTCACGTCAAGGCAGAGTTCATAACACTGAGTGAAGACATGTTTCGCCAAGAGTGGCTTATTCAATTTTCTTCAAGGCTGCAGAAGCCAACCGTGGAGATACGTTTCCTCTATAAATGCCTTGAACTGAGCAGAAATGCCTTTATTTACCTAGCTAACTTCTTGTTCCTGGAAACACCTACATAATCAAAGAATCAGTGAGCAACCTTCGGAACAGGAACATCACTGCCAATGTTCATTTGAAGATTAACCACAAACTCACGGCTCTCTTGGTCAATAACACATTTCTGTAACAACGTCCCACCAACCATGGCTTTAATTTTAGTTTAAAATAAAAATTTGGAGAAGAAACAGACCAACCCGCCATTGCAACAACATATCAGACCAAAAATACAAAATAGAGATGCAAAAAAAAAAAACTGTGGGAAAAAAAGTGAAATTCCCCAAACAAATTTCGTGATTTCCCTTTCATTATCAAAGGGAAATGTAAAAAAAAAAAAGAAAAGGGAACAGTTTTTTAAGGGTTTTTAAGCCCAGATAACTCCCTCAAAGGCCCCCAACCAACGCCTCAAATCGTCCCTGTATTTTTTAAGTTTTGTTTAAAAACTTTATTATTTTTACCCCATAAACCCAAAAACCCGTATGGGGGGTAGTCAAAAGATTACAGAGGTACAAAAATGGGTTTCCCGGGGGGTGGGCCCCCAAAAAAAAATTAATTTATAGCTGAACTAGTTACAAAGGGAATGAACTCCCCGGTAAAAAAATTGGTTCCCCACCATTTGGGAAATTTACAAATTTTAAAGAATCAGGGCCTCCCCTCCTAAAAAATGGGTTTCAGGGCAAAGAACCCAAAAAAAAAAGTAATGAGCCCCCCTGGAAATTACGGGTTTCCCACACCTGGTCACAATTGGGAATGAGTTATAAATACAAATATTAAGTGTATGATGGAAAGAATTTTAAGGCTTTCAAAAAGGGGCCTTGACCATCCCCACCCCCATCAACATAAAAAGGGAAAGGATGAAGTGTCTGAAAGTTTTTCCGGAGGGGGTTTTCTTCTCCCCTTTTAAAACTTTCAGCTGTTTTATTTTAAAGAAATTGATAAAGTAAAAAAAACACGAAAATCGGGTTTAATTTTACTGTTTTTTTTTCACTGGTTTTTGTTTGCCACATGGGGACATCACTTGTTTAATGGAATTTTTTTGCATTTTTTCCCCGTAAAAAAGGGATTTTCAGCCGGCCAGAACATCTTCTAGGCAGATTCTCAACTCAGGTCCCAAAACCCCCTTTCCTTTAAACTATATATTCTCACGTCTTCCATGTACTCCCTAGGGCTTTAAAAAGTTTTGGTAACTCCTATGGGAAAGCCCCAAAAAAGTTTCCATTTTTGCCTGCAAAATTTTTTTATTTTTTTTTTTCCCAGAAAAGTAAACAAACGCAAAATAAGGAAAATTGGGGGAAAGTAATTTAAAGGGTACATGAAGAAAATAGACTGCAGTATAATAAATTAAAATATGATAAAAAAGATAGGGTCAAAAAGCCCTAAAAATGTTTTTGGGCAGTTCTCGGGGGGGAAAAAAAATTTAAAAGGCCCATAAAGTGGAACCCCGGGGGGAGGGGGGCGGGGCCCAAAGCCAAAGGGGAAATAAAATAGTCCAATCGGGAAAAAAAACGGAAAAATGGGGAAACCCAAACTTTGGGGGTTTTTTCCTTTGGGAAAGGGGGGGAAAAAAAAAGGGGGGAACAGCCAAGGGGGGGGCAGGGGGGGGAAACCGGGGGGCTTTCCAAAGCTACTGCTTATAAAAATAAAAAAAAAAAATTTTAAACCTTTTTTAAACCCTTTTACCACCTTTTTTTTTAAAAAAAACCCAAAAACCCAAGGGAAAAACCCCCCTTTACAAAAATTTAAAAAATTTAAAACTAAAATAAAATCTACACTCTAAAACCCCAAAAAAATGAATCTTTATAAAAAAAAATAAAAAAAAAAAATTTTACTAAATAAAAATGGAAAAAATTTTAAAATAAATAAAAAATTTAAAAAAAAATTTAATTTCAAGGGGCCCCCATACCCCCCCACAAAAAAGGAGGAAAGGGCCCGGGGGTTTTTGGAAAAAGCTCCGCATTAAAAAAAAATTGAAAAAAAAAACAAAACCTTAACAAACTTTTTAAATTAAACTTGTTTAATGTTGGGGTTTTTTTCCAAAAATTTAAAGGGGAAATTTTAAAAACCTTTCCAACTCTTTAAACGTTTTCTACTAAAAAGGAAAGCCAAAACCAAAAAAATACCACCCCTGAAAAACCCCAAAGGATTTAAAAAAAACCCCATAAACAAAAAAAAAGTGGAAATTTGGTGGATGAAATTTTCCCAAATGAGCAAATAAAAGGGAAAAGGGAAGAACAGCTACATGGGTTGTGGTTTTTTGTGGTGTGTGGGTTTTTGGGGGGGTTTTGTTTGTGTGTGGGGTTTTTGGGTGGGTTGGGTGGGGTTAAAACCCTTTCACTTTGGCCGGCAAAAAAAAGAAAAGAAAATCCGTGGGGTAGAAAAGGGGTTACAGAGGGACATAAGCCAGGACTTGGCCCCAAATTTTTGAAGCTAGGAAGTTCAGAGGCAAGAAACTCACAATTAAAAGGAAAAACTCAAAAAAAAGGGGTTGAAAAAATTTTACAAAGAATGCCCCAGAATGGATATTTTTTGAAAGGATTTATACCTTTTGTAAATTTATTTTAACCCAAAATTTGTTTTAAGCCTCGGGAACGGAAAAACTTTGGATTTTTTGGCCAAAGGACCTTTGAACTTTACCCGCCCACAGTGGTATGGGGAAAAAAAATAAACTAATGGGAAAAAATAGGGTTTACACAACACAAAACACACACACACACACACACACCACACACACACACACACACACACACACACACACACACACACACACATGTCAGCATATTGCTGATCCCTGTATTCCCTGTATTTTTTAGCATAGCATTTTAGTATCACCTTTGGCTTTAATACGGACCCCTTGTAGGCCTGTGGCTTTGTGGACGTCACGGGATACAGGGGGGAGGCTCATACCTCTGCCCCCCCTCACTCGGCGGCAGACCTTCAGCGACAGGAAGGGCGCTGGGCTCCATCCCACCAGTCTGACAAATAGTTACCTCCACAAGTGTTCATTTTAAACCCTTGCAATCTCCTTTAAAAGAACCTTTACAAACACACACACACCCCCCGGCCCACGACAATATGAAAACGACATAGCAGCGAAACCCAATTGACCCAAATGTTATACAGCCACATAGGAGGAAAACAACAGCCAAGCCGGGTAATCAGGCTAAGGAAGGAGGAGGAGAACAACAAAAAAAACCCGTAAGTATGTGAGGAACCAACAAAGATTCAAAGAAGTGTTCACAAGGGGAGACAAGGGGCCCTCCAGGGGACGGAGAGGGGGGCACACCCCCAAGTGCTGGACACGTGCACACAACCGGGAAGAAGTGAAGATTTTCTGGGAGCTAGATACCTCAAGGGAAAGGGGGGGCCAGATAACATTTTCCCCAGGGCCCCCTGAGAGAGGGAGCAAGGCGCAGGGTTTACCCAAAAACAATATTCAATACACATGAACGGGGAGATTCCTGGGGGCAAAGACAGCAAATGTGTCCAATCTTTTAAAAAAGGAAGATATGAAGCACAAAAATACAGCCCAGTTCACGACATTTTTATAGTATGCAAAATCATGGAAATATATCAGAAGATTTGGGGGAAACACCTAGAAAGGAATGACTCATCAACAGCAGCCAACAGGTTTCAGGGACGGAAACCCTGGTCAAAAACCCTATGGGTTCTATACAGGTGACACAGAAAGACAAGAGAAGAGAGGGGGGGATGGATTGCAATTTTTTTTGGATGAAGAAGGCGTTTGCACAGTTCCACACAAAAATTTATAAAAAAACCTGGGGGACCAAGCGGGGGGAACAGGAAAGGCACTGCAATGGATCAGGGAAACAGCAGCGAGTCAGGTCGTGGGAGGGTCATAGTGGGCCCCCGGTGCCCAGGGGGGGTCCCACAGGGGTCAGTCCCAGGACCATGCTTTTTTTGGTATTTGTGAACGACATGACGGAAGGGAATAGACTCCGAAGTTCCCTGTTTGCAATGACGTGAAGTTGATGAGAAGAATCACTCGATCGAAGACCAGGGGAACCAAAGAGATCGGACAGGCTCAGCCTGGTCCCGCAATTGGTCCTGGATCAATCCACCCAACGCAAAGTCATGAAATTGGGGAAGGGTAAAGAAGCCGCAGACAGATACAGTCAGGGGGCCAGAGACTACAAACCTCACTCAAGGAAAAAAATCTGGGGAGTATAACACCAGGCAATCCCAGAACCACATCAAACCCAAAAAACGCGCAGCTATGGGCGCCTGGCAAA